TTCTCCAGCCCCCTGGGCACGCCGACCGTAACCGCCGGCACGCAGTCAAAAAAAGCAAAAGGCAAGGCCCCGTTACGGTCGGCGTTGAAAGCCACGTCGTTGGTCAAACCGACGTCATCCGCCGGTTCCCGGGCCGGGTCCCGGGCGGCTCGCAAACGTTCACTGTCAGTAATCTCTATTGCCAGCAGTAACGAGGGCAGCCGGTACCCAGATCGGCTAGAGGTCAAGCTCAACTGTGCCATACAATGGATTAAAAACGACACATTCAACAACCTCTGTACCCAGCCAAACAAACCGATGCCCTGTATGATCACTCACGCCATCACAATCAAGAAGAGTGATGATGGTGCTCTCAGTGAAACGAAGCTAGGCGATGGCCTTTGTAATGAAATACAAACTATACAAGAGGAGGCTCACAACATGTTGTTTAAGGCTGGGCTGACTGGGCTTCATGATGACCAGGTCATCTTTATTAAGTTGGTCTATAGCTGTACTTTGGGGTCCTCTTTGAAGGCTACTGTTATATATTCTAAAAGCTATTTTAGCCAAAACTTGAGTCAACTAGGGTCACTATATCTGATAATGCCAGTGAATGATATTCTAAAGTCATTCCTTGACCTGGATAAAAAGGGCTCCAATTTCCAGGTCCAAATCACTTGGTTCTATCATATTGACCTGCCCAATATCACTCCAGCGCCAGGGCTTCCTGGTATGCCCACACCTTCCAGAGGCTTGCCTATGGAACTGCCTTGATCTGGTACCGCCGCCATCACCTCCCCATTCCCTAGCAACACTACCATCATGAACCCATTCCATTGAACCACTCCTAATCAAGCAATGCCTGCTGCCACCACTACCACCACTGCCCATGCACAGTAGCAAGCCCAAGGTGATCAAACCGGCAAGAAGAAGTGGAAAACAGTCATATTGACCATGCTGGAACAGGTTGCTGTGTGAGTTGCTAAAGAAGAGGCAGATAAGGCTGCTGGAAAATGGCCAGCCAGGGCCATCTTTCAAGACCTCTGTCACCTGTGGGAGTGCCTGAATAAAGACACCTGCAAGAACACCTGCATAAACACTAAATTCCAATGGTATTATATTGCCGATGGTACCAGTAAGCATGTTAATCTCTTCAGCAAGGATATCAATGATTGGGCATGCATGATATAAAACAATAAAACCAATGCCAGGAACCCACCTCCCAAGTTCCATCAAAACTGGCTAATGCAAGTGATAAAAGTATCATAAGCTGGCAACTTGGCCATGCCCCTGGGTCAAACCCCATGGCAACTGCTACAATTGGATCAACCTTCTGGGTGGCCCATCAATGGCCAGCCCCCACCAAAAGGCAGATACAACCCCCAGCCTACAATACCACACATCATGTTTATCAACAGCAATAACAGTGGGCCTAATCCTAGCTATAGTGACCCTCTCCTATGGCTTTAGTATCTCATACCATAAACAACTGGCTGCCACTGAGCCATATACTAATCTGTACTAGCCTTTACTTCCTAGCTAGTATCAACCCTCTATTCTAGGGCATATCTGAACTATTATAGCTTCTGGATATCCTTTATTAAATACAAGCTATGCCATCCCACCTCCACCACCACCAACAATCATGCCCTTTACCCTTACACCCTCTACCATTGATCATAATTGTGACTATGTTGATGACTGGCATAATACGCTTTCTATCTAATCATCATTGCCACCAATACCCCCAAATAGCCAACAGCCAGGTGACCTGATCAATAACTACATCAAGCAATTCCTCTATGATACCAGGCATAGTGGTCACCTTGGAAGCTCTCAACCCACTGCCATATAGATACAAAAAGCATTCCTTTCTGAAGGCAAAATGATTCAACAAGTCCTTAAGCTCCCACTTCCCTGGTTTATGGAACAGGGACTCTCTCTTGAACTTGCCTATCTGTTTAGGCAAGGTATCAAGGCTTTCCTTTATAAAGAAACAGAATTCCAGATTACTACCTTATTACAAGAACCCATAGAACCTGCCACACTAGTCTCTCAAGGTAAATCCTCATCCCTTTTCCTTTTAGCTAATAAGATACTAATTAATGGTCCATCACAGACTCAGGCTTCAATACACTCCCACAATGACCCTCCTCTCTCAACAATAATAATAATCTTAAGTTTGATATAATATATGGGGCTGAGACTGAAGAGGAGGAACAAGAGTGGCAAGCAGAGTCATTAACTGACTCTGATGACAAAGAGGATGACAATTTGAAAAGGGCTTAAAGATAAGGGCATTCCAGCTATTTAGTTCTACTACCTAAGCTATAGTTCCTGTTACAATAAACTCCTTAGCCTCATTATCATATAAAGCCAAGTAATCCACATCATCTTTATCAACATGACTAAAAGGAATGCCAGCCTGGCAATAGTGGCCACAGATAGCCTTGGTGTTTTTGCCCACCTTACAAGCACACCACTCTAACCATTCTTTAAACTGATCTATTGTCATCTCAGCGCCACCATCCCAGTAGTAGTGCCACCTAAAGTATGCCTTCAAGTTGCTAAAGTATGCCTCAATGGGGTTGAAGTCAGGAGAGTAGGGCAGCAGATACCACAGAAGAACCCTAGCAGTACAGCAAGCTACCATGATCTGCTCATCATGGTGTCAGATAGTATTATCCATTACCAGGATACTATTACACCCTGGAAATGGATTCATCTTCAGCAGCATAAACTCGATCAGCCATTCAATGAACCTATCCTGAGTAGTGTGGCCCCTGTATACCATCACCTCAAGGAGCCCATCTGCTGATACTGCTGGCAATAGGTAGAACCGCTTCCCTCTCTCAAAATCGTTGGCCATCAAGGGAGTTTTGCCTTTTGGCGCCCATCCTGTTCGCCGCGTGCCATCCCTTTTATCCATACCAGATTCATCATAAAATACATACATCTCGGCGCTGAACATAGAGATCTTGCATTGCCAATCAAGCCTCAGGGTATCGTTGCGCTGGCTCGCCTTCAGATGGAGCTTCTTCCTCTTCCACAAGTTACTATTCAGATGACAGCTGATGGTGGAAATTGACAGCCACTCGCCCAGCTCAGCCATCATGAACCATTGTATTTCGTCAAGGTAAAGATCGGGCTTTTCACAAAGGAGGTCGAAGATAGCCTGTAACAAAACAAGGTCAGCCAGTTACCGGCACCACCCAAAGAGAGTCCTTTGCTAACCTCCAAGTGTCAGGGCAGTAGTTTGGCTGTGTTCTGAGGGTCTTCGGCTTCGTAAAAGGGCTGCCAGTCAATTCAAACTGCCGTTTATATCAGAAGGCTTGTCGGGCACTGACGCCAGCAGCGGCTGCGATTTCGTCGGCTGGCATGAAGGCGACCACCATCGCCAGGATGACCCCTTTCTACCAGGCATTGGTATATCGAACCATGGCGAGTTGGCTCAACACCAAGAAAACGGCGGCGATGGCTTTTCTGGCGCGTTTTGGGCTTCAATTCAGTTGTTCAATTGAACTGGCGGACTTCCAGATGGCCAGACTGGCAAAAACGCAGTGTGCGACACACATCGATTTTAGCGTGGCGGGTGGGGCCTGACGTGGTGTTTGAGAAGTACAGTGGTAAAATTACTTGAAACAGAAAGTGGTATAACGTGGTTCCCGGCCATGCGACGCACTCAGCCGTGCGACGCACTTTTCCACCACCACGCGACAAAACACTTCAATTACGCAACCACAACAGCGACAATCAATTGAAACTACTCATCATTAGATGCACTGGGCATCTTTACATCCTCCTGGCAGGTGCGCGCATTGTGCCCAGTCTTCCCGCAAGTGCCACAGCGCCGCTGGCCTGCCTCCGTCCTCCTTCGCTGACCACTGTTTTCCTGCTTATCATGTTTTACCTGTTCCTGTGCCTCCTTCTGAGCCAGTATATCGTGTGCATCCTCTATAGTAAGTGATCCTCCAAGCTGTACATGTGTTTTTTTGGCCCTCCGGCGTTTGCTGAGTGCCTCATTTGCCTTCTGTATGTACCTTAGCTGTTAAGAGGGTAACTAAATATGCCAATGCCTGTGTTCCTTTTGCAAGTTGATTGACAGTAGTGATTGGTGTTGGTGAGCTTTCCTGGTGATGGGTAATCTGGTTTTTGATGAGTTTGGATTGTGTGATGGCTTCTGTTGGGTTCTATGGTGTTTGGGAGACCCAAGGATTGGTGGCTGAGGGAGGGGGACTTGGTGTTGGTGTCCATAATCTGACATCTAACTTAGATATCATAGCCTCAGGGTTGAAAGGTACTAGACTGGCACCTCTGAACCCTCCTTTGTTATTGTCCTTGGTCATGGTGGCAAAGTAGTTCATTCCAACTTTCCTCCTATAATGGGTCGTAAATGAAAAAATCCTCCTTCTGATCCTAAACCTAGCACTATATATTGTCTTTATTCTGCCAACAATGCTTTTTTGTTTGGCTCCCTAATGCCTTTGTGTACTTGTTATAGTGACAAGGGTCTTGAGTGTAAGGTAACTAAGGGTTCTTGATGCTGTGGTTCTTATGCTTTGTCAAATGCTGCTTCTTGTGATGTAGCAGGCTTGGGTCAATTGACCTTTGATTTGCTGATTAGTCAAAAGAACAAACTTGATGAAGCTAAGGAGAAGGCTTTGTTGGAGAGTATGGAGATTTAGGTGAGACTCCTCTGATTGTATAAGCAATGTTGTGTCTTGGAGGAAAGGGCTTGCAAGGCATTTGCTTGGGAGTCTTGGGACATTGTGGAGCTTGAGGTGTTGAAGCAGGTGTCTACTTCTTCCCCTATTCCTAACTTTTCTCTTACTTCTTGGCTTGACCTGGAACTTCTAAGTGACATAGGTCCTATGACTGGTTCCTCCTCTGACCCTGGGTAAGCACCCTTACTTTCCTAACAGTATAAGGAAAAAATAGAGATTTATATACTAATGCCTTATGTCTAGGTGTATATTAGGTCTTCATAGGTTGTCATAATCTAGGCCATTTTTAATAATCTTGTCTCTATGGTGTAGTGGTAGTATGTTTTACTCTTGTAAATAGGGTTACTTGTACATGTCCTATGTAGCAAGTTGTCTGGTTTAGTGTTGAAGAGGTCAGGGGTTTAATTCCTTTTGGGGGCACTTTTCTTTTTCGGTTTATTGGGATTTAGGTGGTAGAAGCCCCTGATTAACTCTGGACATAAGAGTCCTATATATGGTTCCAAAGAGTTATCTATAGGTCCATAGCCAAGCCACTTGACTAGGTACTATAATACTCTTTTCTTGAATTATGAATCTAGAACTTCCTCCACTTTAAACTCTTCTTTGTCTGCTTCCACTTCCAGGGTCTTTTCTAGTGGGACATTCTTTGATATTAGTTTCAATAGCAATATATAAAAGACTCTGGTCCTGACCCTTATGGTTTTTAGTAAGTCTAGCTTATAGTTTATTGTTATTACCTACTTCTTAATCTGGAATAGTCTATACCTTTTAAAGTCAAGCTTCCTACTTGGTTATTTTATCTTTAAATTTCTAGAAAACAGATAGACATGGTGTGACACCGGCGCCACACCTAGGTGAGGAGTAAGGTGGAGCGGGGATGACAACGACAAGGTGTGCAAACACTGCAAGATAAAACTGCAGAGCTGTAACGATGATCCGGACGATGTCGGACGATCAAATCGTTCAGGGAGATGGAATGATCAAACAGGGGATAACACACGATGCCTTTGCAGTTGCAAGTCAATTGAAGAAGAGGGTGGTTGCTTGTCGCCGGTCGCATCCAAACCACCACAGAGCTCCTCGCAGCAATCAGGGACAGGATCACCAAGTGCAGAGCACGAGAGCAAGTCAACAAGGTCGCTATCTCAGAAGGTGCAATGAAGAATTGATGAACAAACAACAAGGGTTCCACAAGGATAGAATTCCCCTCAGCTTCACTGAAGTTCAGCTGATAATCTTTCTAAGGTCGGTTTCCAAAAAGGACTGCAGAGCTTCTTCTCCCTCTGAGGGTTCAGCGCTCCTTCATCTCTTTTATGGAAGGCTATGTACTAGATACAATGTTCCCTTGATCCGTCCTAACCGCCTGTCGGTCCCGAGGATCCCTTTAGCCGCCCGTCAAAAGCACCTTATCAATCCATGGCTACATACCAAGTGAAGCCAGCCATCACACAACAAGTCCACAGCCTATGTCAGTACTTACTCTCAACAGTTCTGATGGCATTGCTGGAGAGGTTCCCTCAAGTCCTTGGTACTAACACTGGCCACAGCATTGTTAGGTTGGTCCCACACTGACTGTTGCAAGAGTGATTCCCTTCATGACTCATTGCTGCCTGAGTGGGCCTGGTCACAGCCACCTGTCACCACTGAGATAGGAGTCCTGCAAATATTGGTTCAAGATCTTCCAACAAGACAACTGTAATATCAAGGAGGTCCCTGATTAAAAGACCATCATATAATCTGTTCAGCTGTCATGCAGCCCAGACCATGACACTGAGGTTGTGTGGTTTGTCTATGACAAATCTGAAGTCTGATGACAGAGGTCAGCATGGGATGGTCCACTGTATGGATCACCCTTGATTGCATGTGGTCCAAGGTCTCAATACAATCTGCTGGAGATCCTTGGTTGATCCATCATGCTGAATGGCGACTGCCAATAAGTTAAACACCCTACTTTTCGACCCCCCCCTGTTTTCGCGCCCTTACAAGCCACACACAAAATCCGCATCCAAGAGAGTGAATTCCTCACCACAACCACCAACTCTGCACTTAAAAATACAGGAAAAATCAATCCGAATCTTCATCTACTGGCCTTTGTGGCTTCCGCCTTATTCTGCCAGACCGGCGCGGCGGAGTCCAAGCCGCATCCTCCCTATCCTCCTCCGCAGATACCACAGTTGGATCTACTGCAATTGAGTCTTCCGCACTCGCCGCCTCAACTGTGCGTTGTGCAGGCTCGCGGTTTCTCTGGGCGAGTATCTCTCCAAGCGTGATAAATCGCTCGTTCGGATTTACTCGCACCTTGCGCCGGCGAGTTGGCTTGAGAAGCTCCAAGCGCGCTTCCAAACTCGCGATCTCTCGGTCCTTGACTGCCAGCTCGAAATTCCGCTTATCCAGAGCACTAGCGATCTTCCGGATGACCAGGCGCATAGTCGGAGTCCTTACCATAGTGCCGAAAAGCCTGGAAACGTCACTGCTCCTGGATGGGGTGGAGATAATGGAGGGCATAGTGGGTGGTGGAGTGGAGGCTCTGCGCTCGAGGACCCACGGAGAATTGAGTGGTTTTTGCCAGTTATTCAGATACAAGCCAGTTGCTCGCCATCCTGCCTTGATGTTCTTCATATCTAGGCCAACTTTGCATGCTTTGCTGAAGATCTCAAGGAATTTAAGCTTTCCAACCCAAGTTGAGTCAGAAAGTGAAACCCACTCGGCAAGAAGGCTCCGATATTTCGCCTTCAAGCTTGAAAAACAACCCAGATCTAAGGGCTATGTGACATGAGAGGTGTGGGCAGGTAAAAATAACATATGTATGTTATTTAGAAAGCACTGAGTCATAAAATCATCTCTGATACTTTGGGAGCGGAGCAAGTAGGGTAGAATGGTAAGATTGAGAAGAGTCTGCTCCCAACAAAAGAGAGCTGCGCGGAGCGCACGATCTATATACAAAAGAGAGTTTGTATGCCAAGGAGCTAAGCTCCTTGCAGGTGCGGGAACTCCCGCACGGAGCGAAAGCTCCTAGCAGGGAGCGAGAGCTCCCAGCCACACCTGTGGCCTGCGCCGCAGGGCTGCGCCACACTGCATTTATGCGACATCATCAGTTGTGTGTGAGCCATGGCCATCCACAATCAGAAGCCTTGGTACTGAGATGTCACCTCTTTCAGTTTCCAGAAGAAAGATCTTCTCAAGCCACTCAAGAGCAATCTCATTACTTGTCCAGCCATTCTCAGAGTTGGTGACTTGCCATGATGGATATGCCTCGCATACAGCCTTCTTAAACCACTGGTCCTGGAGGGTTGCGCCTTTGAAGATGACGAGGGGGTTCAAGGCAATGCCAGTTGCTGAGATACACTCGATAAAAGAGACCCAGGACCATGAACTGCTGGTTTTCACAGGGACCTTCTTGGGGTACATCTCTGCGCTTCCAAGCACACAACTATTGACTCCCTGGCCCTCCATAATGCCACCTTCATCGGCATTATAGTGGCAAGATGGAGGTATGTAGTTGACTATATCGGTGAGGTCGAAAAGCTTGTTGATATTGGCCGGGGAGGCCTCATTGACTCGTTCCCAGTGAGTCCTGCGACCCAACTTCATCCTCAGTTATGGGTAGCAACATAGGAAGGAACGCATCCACTTCCTCCCAAGTTTATTGTGGTCGCCGCCATGGCAAAGTTGTGCCATGGCGAGATGCCGCACTTGTGCGTGTGAAGGTGCGTATCCGAGCTTTTCCTGGCGCAGAATCCAGTCGCATAGGCCTTGCTCTTGGGATATAGAGAGCCTCTGTTGGTGTTGGTGAGCCGTGGAGTGAGGTTCGCCTTCCAGGAGGCGACTGCGCAGAGTAGAGGGGGGTATACCATGATGGCGCGCGGCGCCATTCAGTGTGCCTCCATCCAGTACCTCAGTTATGGCATTCTGGAGGTCTGCTTCCGTGTAGGTGCGCATGGTAAGGTAGCCAATTGAATGCAAAAAGGTGCAAAGAGAAAGAGGAAGAATTGGATGTGTGGTGGTGGAAAGGATGATATAAGTAGGGTAGGGGACGCGCAAGGATACGCGTCGCGTGGGCGCGCGAAAACAGGGGGGGGTCGAAAAGTAGGGTGTTTAACTTAGCCTGTGGCCAAGGTGTGTGTATCCTCATGTCCACAGTCAGCCTAGGTCAAGGAGGTGAATAACCCTGTTGACCTTTGGTGAGCTTGACTAGTGTAACAACTTTATAAGTCTATCTACTATGGCCCAGACTTAGTTATACTTGATATCTGTTACTAGATCTTTCAACTTAGGTATCCTTGATATCTAATCTATTAAAATAGAACTCCATTTTTATTTTGGGACAGGTAGTGGTTCTAGTAGGCTATACTATATATTTTTTGGTTTTTTGACTTATTATAGATATTATAATTATATACTATCTTTTCCACTACTCCCTTTGCTCTTAAGAAGTCATAGCTATTTTATAATTAATCTAGTGTTTTGGTAATTTCCATATGTTTTTTGGTTTAGGCTTTATATATTTTGCAAATATACTTTTCTTATTTCTTTGGTTCTATATAGGCTTTCCTATAGTACTAAAGTAATAAGTCTTCTTCTACTCCTCCTTCTACTTCCACTAGAAGTTCATTACTATTAAGAGTACCTTTCTTATACTAGAATTTATTATTCTGTCATTCTATCTAGTAGCTAGTATAATATTCTAGGAATGCTTAACGTGAATCACAAGCGAGCGGTCAATCCAAGCGAGTGGTCAGTGTCACCACCCCAATTGAACTGTCGTATGACATACCAACACCACAAAAGAACCAAAAATGCCAGCCAAACGAAATGAAGTACAGGTGCAACTTGCCCTTCAAGCTATGGAACGCAACAAGAACCTTAATCTCTACATAGCTGTAGAACACTATTCAGTATCTCATACGACGCTTCTGCGACGGCAAAAGGGAATTTGCCCTTGAGCAGATACCATTGCCAACTCTCAGAATCTCGACCCTCTTGAAGAGCAGGTCATCATACAAAGGGTTCTTGACCTGTACAAGCAAGGATTTTCGCCAGGATATGATATGTTGGAAGATATGGCCAACTTGCTACGCGTGACGCATAGCATGTCACGCGTCAGAAAACACTGGGCTTCAAACTTCATACAACAACAACCAGAGCTCCGGACGCATTGGACACGTCCATATAACTACCAGAGAGCTAAATACAAAGATCCAGAGATAATTAGCACATGGTTTGACCTTGTTCATAATACAATTGCAAAACATGGGATTGTCAAGTCAGATATCTAGAACTTTGACAAGACTGGGTTCATGATGGGCCAGATCTTGCCAATGCTGGTTATTATCTCATCTAAAGGCCATAGGAGGGTCAAGAAGATCCAACCTGATTAATCAGGAATGGGCTACTGTGATCCAGGCCATACAGTCAGGTGG